TTTGTTCATGCACTAAGACTGTTTTTGCCTGTCATGGACATTTTTAGAAAACTGTGGCTCTTTTTTATTATTTTAAACCAAATGAAGAAGTGACCATATCTTCCCTTTGGAGCACTATACATTTGCTTTGAAACATTTTTAGCCTTTTTAATTTTATTTTTTTATCAATCCAAAAAGTCTTCAAGTCCCTCTGTCTGGCCATCTCTCTTCATCTTCCTCGCATTTTGACTTTCGTGTCTCCAAAAGCCCTTCGATGTTAAGTGTTGTCAATGGTTTAGCTTCTTGTTTCAAAGCGGCAATAGCAGAATGTACAATTCTGACTGCTAAGATTTATATATATACTGGTATCTTGAAGCTTATTGTACATATGAGTAGTCGCCATGGGATGACACAATGTAAACAAAAAGTAGAAATAATAAGAAAAATTGTGAGTCCTGTGTTCTCCATTTGAGTATTTTGTAATTTTTTTGAAAAATTTGTGGAATTAAAATAAACTAAGTTACACCACAACACGCAGATATGTTGGTTATTTGGTTTTCGTCTTGTGTTTACACTCTGAATCCTCAGCAGCTGTCAGACAATAAGCCAGTATCAGAGTAAACACTTGATTATGCACTGCTCATTCATATACTATGTTCACAGGGGATAAAACAAAGGTCTTTTATACTGCACTGTAGTATAATTTTGAATATAACTTATGTTTGCTCCTTACCATACAATTACACCTTTAAAATGCTTTCACATGCTGTGCACAGACTTTGCGTGCATCTTCCTCCTTCTGTCTAACACAAGGAGAAATCAAATATGTTCCACTCCTCGCAAAAACAACGCTGTTATTTTCCATCTTTGCACAAACAGATCTTCAAGCAGCAGGCAGTGAATCTCCAAACCCCGCTTCGCTGTAACAACATCAAAGCCGGACTAAGCCACAACTAGAAACACCTCCACTAGGCCTTATTCTCCGCTCCTCTCCGCTGTGCCATCAGTGCGCGCGGGCTGTCATCTTCTGCGGCGTGTGGGGAGTGATAGACCTGCAATCTCTGTGTGATGGTGTGCTCTGTCGCTGCTGAGAGGCCTGTCATTCCGTGTAGGAGCTATTATTCTCTGAAATGATGGCCCTGTCCCCGGAAAAATCTCGCTTCCTATCCCGGGGCTGTCACGTGACTTTGGAGAGGTGCGCGCTGTGTCTTGTTATTGTTGCCATATCCTCATAAGACACAACAAGAAGACGTCAGGGCGCACAGAGAGCTGGGGCTGGCTGGCTTGAATAATTTATCTATCCACCACCTCCTCCTCCTCTTCCTCCGAACCAGGGATGAAGCGACTGTGACTTGTGTCAGTTCAAATCCGGCTCATATGCGGCGGTGTGTACCCCTCGGGCGGACACACAGGAATACGCAGTCGCGGAAAATCCACTCCCGTTCTGTCTCAATAGCGGTGTGTTGGTGGAGAGGTAATGTCTATAGCAGGCAGCAGCAGGTTACAGATAGAGATTCATGTCCTCCTTTCGCTCCACTTGGCCCGTGCGCCTAAGTGATCCACAGTGACATTAGTGCACTCAGATAGAATAAGACTGTGTACTATTGTTTGTTTCTGGGGTAAAACTGAGCAAAAATATGTAGGCAGTAAACACTGGATATGTTTTTGGGTTTCATCTCTACTCAGTTTACAAGATTTTTATATTCAGGTTTTTTGGGGTTTTTTTTCAGTAAGTTCAATAATGGGTCAAAGTGACTTTATTTTAGAATCATCTTTAAGTCAGGGGAATGCGGTCTAACTCTGGACAGTAGCCAAACCCCAAAACATAAAGACACAATTTACAAAAAAAAAGAGAGCGAAAGAAAACATGAGCATTTAGAATCCATATTGTACCTTTTCATCATTGCGTGAAATGGAAAATGCAAAGGATCAGGTGCAAGTTATGTCTTTCATATTGCCTTTTACATCTATTCCTTAACATTATTCTTATCTACACTGTGAAACAAAGATGAGCGCTTGGTTATGAAGAAGCTAAAATGAATCACAGTTGGTGGAATCTTTTTTACCTACAAACACAGATAATGAAAGCCGTCTCCGCAGACCCACACGTATTTATCTCTGAATATTTATGTCCACAACAACATTCAGTTGCAACGAGAGGTTAGAGATGTTCAAAGCCTGAGTCACTGGCTGCGGTTACATGCACGCCCAGAATCAGCTTATTATCAGATTTTTTGGGTTTAAAGTCTATTAAAATGACATGTAAACAGCAAAATAGTCAGATTTATGTCCAAACTACAATATGTTATCATTTATATCCATCCATAAATGTGTCCATGTATGTACAGCAAAAATTTTCTTATTCTTTTCTTCTTATAAAATGTTTAGAAAATGTATATTTGTTAGTTACATATCAGACTCTCACATTGTCCCTTATAACCTTGCAACATTGACCGGCCTTTTATTGAATCTATTTGGTTTCATTATATATTTATCAATTATTGCCAGATTAATGAAGTTGTTACCTCTGTGTACATTCGATTGAACGCCTTTGTCCTGCAGTACCAGGTTGTTCCCTCTGATACAGGACAATACAGTCTCTCCAGACTCTGTGGCTCCTCTTTAATGTGAGTCATAAAACATGCAGCTGGCACACACAGCACTGGGGCCTGTGCGGGTACGAGGCCCACTGTCCCAAACATGCACTCGCTTTACTCCTTACTCTTTCTTTGTATCTCCCCCCCCCCCCCTCTCTCTCTCTCTCACACACACACTTTTTCCACTTACTTTCTCTAATCCCCCAGTCTGTCTTTCTCCTCTCTCTTTCTCTCTCTCATGATTCAATTCCTGTTTCTCATTTCCCCCTCTCCATCTCTCCAACTTGCGCTCTCCATCCCCTCTCTCTCCTCTTACTCTCTTATCCTCTCTTTCTCTATGGACCTCTCATTCTGTCTTCTCCTTCCCTCTTTCATATCTTTTCTCTGCAACTCTTTTTCTCTCACCTCCTCTCTTCATCTTTTCTCTTTCTCCCATTTTTTTTTCATTTTCCACCATTCTCTCTTTCCTTTTTCTCTTCTAATATCGGAATCGCATTTTACCTCTTTTCAATTCAGTGAAAAAGTGAAGCTTGAGATGAGACTGCAAGGACTCAAAAATGTCCTCTACTGTCAGCCACTCTCAACACACAGTGCACAGAATCACAATTTTGTATCTGATAGTTTCTTTCCTCCTTTGGTGGATCTAGTGCATGTACTGGCTAAGTCTTAACAGCTATGATAGGCATGTGTTTTTATAGCTCTAAATGAGATGGATTCAAAGCCATGTTTATGAATAGGCTTGTCTTTAATAAACCCAACTATATAATGAATTCCAAAGATGAAAGGATAGGGAGAGACTCTTGGGACTTTCCAAAATGTCCTCCATTGTGCAGGGATGTTACCTATTTGGACAAACCACAGTGTTGTTTTTTGATATTTGATATTTGATATTTCATTTTTCTCGTTAACATTTTATTGAGAGTTTGAAATTGTACCTCACATTCCTACCACCACCTGGGACCAAATTTGTGTATATTGAATAAACTTCTGTTTTTATAATTTCAAAAAGACAGCCTAAGACGGCACCCAATACAGCAAGTATTTAGCCAGACTGAAAATAATAAAAAGTGAATGATTTTAATCTAATATAAACTTTACTGAAAACCAATGTAGATATTGTTAAATTTAATTTCATGTCAAAGAACTTTAATTAAAACAATGTAATTTTATTTAATTCCTCCTGACTAAAGGTAAATTCTAACTGTAGTATTTCTCTGGGCATAAGTATACTCATTTCAATTCATATTAAAATTGTTATTTTTTTGTATTGATATAATTGAATATTAAAAGAAAAATATAAATAGAATTGAGACTGTACACATATAATTGTGACTTAGACTTAGGTCCAAAGTAGTTTCCGAAGTACAGACTGGCCTCAGAGCAGCGAGGCGGATGTGGGGAATTAAAATAAGTTATGGCAGCGTAGTGACCCAGTTTTGTGAGCAGAGCGCAGTCATGTCTGATATGGATCAGGCCTGTATTAAATGACTCTCCACAGTCTCCTCTGTGTGAGCTGTAAAACCAACCAGGAACTTTACAAGAGGATAGAGGAATCGCACCTAATTCCACCAAAAGTTCAATTTAGGTGATTTTTGTGGGCGATAAATCTAGTCGAGATCATAAGGCAGAGTCCATTTTGGTCTGTTTTCAAGCCTAGGTAAATGATAATATATGGCAAGATTATGAGAGCCATCTGACCAGAAAATAAATAGCCTATAGTAACAACAAAACAACAAAAGCTCATTCTTGATAACAACTAGGATTGCTTTTGTTTTTTGGTTTTAGCTGAGTACATATTAGTAGTTGCCTTCTTCTTCCACAATCATTAAATTCTCAAACAATTTAGGGTATAATATTTAATTTGCATTATGTAATTTTTCTGGCTGCTTTGTTGAGAATGTTTCACAGTATGGCATTTATTCAATTATATATGTTTTTATTGTTTTAAAAATATATTGAAAAACCTGCTGGGGCCCAACTCCACAGATCTAACCTGCAACTTGACCTGGTGATGTCATCTGCTAGAACATTTTCAGACAAAGTAACATCTCCATGGAGAGTAGATTCAGGCCCTCAATCAGTAAAGTTATAGTTCACCTTTAAAAATACCGTATGCAGTCTCGTTTAGCCCTTTGCCCCTGTCCCAGCAGCTGCATGGCTCAGTCTAGGCTCCCGTAGAGACAACCATCATCTGTGAGTGGAGCAGCAGAAGCACCTTTAGACTTTAGATCACAGCGGGTGAACCTCATGTCCTCTGCATCACCAGTGTGGGACAGGACTGATGGGACTGTCACTGCCATAACAGACCAGGGCACTTCTGTTCATGCTGAGTCAATGAGTAATGCAATAAGCTGTGTTATAGGATCTATATATAGGATCATTTCAGTGTACTTAGTTTGTGATAGCTATGGTTACAGTTTTTCTACCAAGATCAAAGGAAACAAATGCCAGTGGACAATGCACAACTGAAATTTCAACTGATGGACAATGGTTAACACAAATTTTTAATTGTGAAACCAAAACACAAATTGAAAATTATTTATTAGTAAATCCTAACACGTTGTAATATTTCTTTTAAAAAAATAAACGAATGTGCTTTTCATTTTAGTGCATTTTCCAGGTTAAATCCCAGTGGTGTTGTTGGTTTATCTTCAGTTAATTACAAATTAACAGATTTTTCCTTAATCCCTACTTGTTTTGTCACATACATAAATAACTAAACAAAGTGTTGAACATCATCATGTTTTGTTAGGGATTGATCCAAACATTTGTTAAATCTTCTAGATATAGATTCTTTCAACTGAAAACAATGATGCAGTTTGCAGTGAAAAAAAGTCCCCAAAACAAACATGGAAACCATCTATCCATCTATTTTCTTCCCCTTTATCTGGGGCCTGGTTGCAAGGGCAGTAGTCTGAACAGGGAGGCTCAGATTTCCCTCTCCACACACTTCTTCCAACTCTTCTGGGGGGCTCTCAAGGCATTCCCAGGCCAGCTGAGAGACATAGTTCCTTCCCAGGGAGGCGTCCAGGAGGCATCCGGGACAGATGCTCAAGCCTCAGCTGGCTCCTCATAATATGGAGGAGCTCCTCACCTCTCCTCATCTCTAAGGGACTGTTTCCCTCCGGAGGAGACTCATTTTGACAGCTTGTATCTGCGATCTTGTCCTTTTGGTCATTACCCAAAGCTCATGACCATAGGTGAGGCTGGAACATAGACTGACTGGTAAATTGAGAGCTTTACCTTTCAGCTCAGCTCCCTCTTCACTACAAAGTTCTGATACAGTGACCTCATCACTGCTGACTCTGTGCTGATCCACCTGTCAATCTCACACTCCATCCTCCCCTCACTCCTGAACAAGACCCAGAGTTATTTTAACTCCTCTACTTGAGACAGGGACTCTCCACCCACCTGCAAAGGGCAAGCCACCCTTTTCTGACTTACTGCCGACAATGCGAACATAGCTTCTGCTCCGGCCTTACAGGGACCAGACAACCTTTAGCGAAGGGCCCTGGACCCCATACTCTCAGAGCACCCCCCCACTGGACACCACGAGAGACATGGTCGAATGCCTTCACATGTGGAGTGGTTGGGCAAACTCCCATGAACTCTCAATCACCTGATGGAGAGTGCAGAGCTGGTTCAGTGTTCCACGACCGGAACAAAACCACACTGCTTCTCCTGAAGCCGAGATTCAATTATCAGTCAGTTTCTCCTCTCCAGTACCCTGAAACAGACCTTAACGGGGAGGCTGAGGAGTGTCATTTCCCTGTAGTTGGAACACACAATCCAGTCCCCCTCCTTAAACAGAGGGACCACTACCCCGGTCTGCCAGTCCAGAGGTACTGTCGCCATCCCCACATGATGTTGCAGAGGTGTGTCAGCCAAGATAGCCCAACAACATCCATAGACTTAAGATACTCAGGACAGATCTCATTCATCCCCAAAGCCTTGCCATCATAGAGCTTGCCAATCACCTAAGTGACTTCAGCCAGGTGATGGACGAATCCGCCTCAGAGTCCCCTGCCTCTGCTTCCTCCATGGAAGATGTGATGGTGGGCTTGAGGAGATCCTCAAAGTATTCCTTCCACCACCCAATGATGTCTCCAATTGAGGTTAACAGCTCTCCACCCACACTGTAAACAGTGTTGGAGAAGCACTGCTTCCTCCTCCTTAGGCATTGGATGGTTTGCCAGAATTTCGATGACAGTCCTCCTCCATGCCCTCCCTGAACTCCTCCCAGCCCCAAGTTTTTGCCTCTATGACCACACAAGCTGTGGCACACTTGACCTGTCAGTACTTGTCAGATGCCTCAGGAGTCCCGTGAGCCCGATAGCACTCCTTCTTCAGCCTGACAGCATCCTTTCTTCTGGGGGTCACCACCAGATTTGGGGATTGCCACCGTGACAGGCACGAGAGACCTTGTGACGACAACTATGAGCAGCAGCATTGACAATGGAGGTGGAGAACATGGTCCATTCAGACTCCATGTCCTCCCAGATGTCACCAGATGCATAGGCGGTGAAGTCCCCCTATAAAACAGCGGACTCCCTGGTTGGTACAGTGTCTAGTACCTCTCCCAGGGGTTCCAAGAGCCCAGGGAACCCGAAGGCGCAGGGACATGACCCTCTTGTTCACTGGGGTGAACTCCAACACGAGAAGGCTGAGCTGTGGGGCTATAAGCCAGCCTACACAGACACACCACCACTCCCCGGGGGGGAGAAATTGATGGTCCAACCCCCCTTGAGGAGTTGGGGATCATAGCCCAAGCTGTGCGAAGAGGTGAGCCCAACTATATCCAGCCATGTCATCACAGCCAGATGCTGTGTCTGTGGACTGGGTCATCAAGACACCTGCCCCGACTCCCAGTCCTCTATACACTTGACCCCTAATCCTTCTGCAGGTGTCCTTTCGGGCTGAGCCCCAATGGGAGCCCTGTCTGTGCCATATCGGCTGACTTCACAAACCTCAATTTTAAACAATTCATAAGGATGTCATGAACTGCTTTTAGTATCACTCGTCACCTAGGACATGTTTGCCACGGGAAACCCTACCAGGGGCATGATGCCCTGGGCAACATAGCTCCTAGGATCATTCGGGTACGCAAACTCCCCCACCACAGTAATGTGGCAGTTCAGAGGGGAGCTAAACTGGAAAGTGGAGATGAAGTGGAAACCCATGAAGATTAATACCGTCTCCTGCAAATGTGTGGAGAGTGCAATGTAAAGTGTCAGTACCTTTATTGACTTCTATTCCAACTCCATTTAAAAACATTTTCTACATTTAGTTGTGATTATTCCTATATGACCCACAGTCCATCATGAGATAGGGTCAGCTGCTTAAGGGGGTGACAGACTCAGTCTGTAAGGTTTATATAGAGGCTGGTTTGGTATTGACATTGACTGGTGGATTAATCTAGAGCCTCATTTTGAGACTGTACTGCATCCTTAAAATGGGCTATTTGAAAGTAAATAAATGTTATTTACTGCAAAAATCACAAAGGACTTCATAGAAAGTAGGTAAGGTGCCAGTGAAATAGAAATACAAAATATCCAATTAAGTTTAATGGACTAGCAAACCACTAAAGCTGTCCTAAATTAGAGCATCTCAAAAATGTTTAAAATAATGGTTTTCCCTGGTGAGCTGAGCCTTGTGTTGTGCTGGATCTGTGGAGGTGGTCTGAGGAGATGTCCCAGGACACAGAGGTGCAGCAGGACCTCGGGCGCAGGGCGAGCCACTGACCTTGTGCCGCGGTAATGGTCGCCCCGGTGATAGATGGTGTTGCCGTAGTGTCCTGTGCTGTGCTGGGGGGCTGTCCACTCGGCCCAACATAGATGGATGGGCCTTTGTTTCCCTCTCACCTTCACACTGTAATTAATCTTGTGGCTGAGTTTATGGAAGGGACTGTAAGCGGATAAACTCACCTCCACACGCCAGAACAAGATGTTTAAAAGCACGCTGGTTATCACAGAGGGGACATTTATCTCAGGTCAAACAGCTGCTGAGTGAATCCCTATTCAGTGTCAGTACACCATAACTACAACTGTGGTTTGTATGTAGACTGCTGCTACCTGCTCCGCTTAGGCCATTAATGCAAATAGAATCTTCTGTAAATTATAGAGCAGAAAATTAATATATATTCTTAAAAGATACTGCTGACCTTGACGTTGGCTTAAGCTCTATATATCTTTAAAGGCTGCATTGCAGTTGCTCACTGCTGCAGAAAGGTTGTCCCAAGAGACAGAGGTTGTCAGGCAGGGTTAAAGGTCAACTAGATCAGAAGAAATGATCAGGCTGCAGGTTTAAAGTCTAACTATGAACTAACTTTATTTTAAGTGCTACTAAACACATACAGTGTTCCAAAAGAAACTGTCCAAATGATCTGTTAAACTGGGGAGTGCCTATAGGACTAAAGGGGAGAGAGAAGGGCCAGGAGAGGTGGGGTCTACTCTAGGCCAATGTGATGTGTGTCTGTGAGTCTCTCATGACATTAGAGACATGATGTTACAAGCCTCTTTAAATGCACAGGCAGACTTGAACCATAGTTGGCAGTATATACTGCAAAATGGCATAACTGTGAAATAAGTTGATGTTTAGTCCTAATTTAACCTGACCAGGGTATACTGTATATCTATGACATTGTGAATAGCAACAGAGACAGACAATATGCTAAAGTTTAACTTGTTATAGAGGTATTTCACATAGGGAATGTTTGTATTGGTTCATTGCACAAGAACCCATGATAGTAGCCAAATATGCAGAAAATGTTTTAACAATTCGTCTATGCTGTGCAGGAATGAATGCAATAGTATTCCAATGTATTGCAAACAAATGCTTTCTATGTCTAAACTCTTCGGTAAATGGTACAAGTCGAAGCCACACTGTTCAAATATTCAACAATAAATATATCCCTGATAACTTCACCAAAGACCTGTTGGACTTGTGCAGCCATCTATGATTTAATGAGTATATGACTGGTTAGATGACACTTTTCACTTAAACTGAGTTAACATTGATATATTTCAGATTTTGATTAAATAAAACTTAAAAGTTTTTCTTAGTTTTACAAGTTAATTTTACTTCCTGTTAAACACGAGCAGAAAAAAATCATGTAACTAGAGGTTAAGTCCATGACTGTTACCTGCAATAATGATGTAAACAAGATTCAAATTCCCTTTAATTATACACAATAGTTATAATTTGGCAAATGGGTTTAAATTGCAGCACCTTTTATTTTGCTTTATTTTATGTTAACATTGACAGAAATTCACATTCTATCTCTGCATTTGGAAAGGAATTTTGTGCATTGGTGACAAAGACAGAGGGATTCCTTTGTACTACTTCCTTTAATTAACTGTCCTTTACAAACTCTCACATGACTATGGTAAATACCTACTAGCATCCCACCAAACTAAATTCCCTAATAATTATAAAAACATGAGAATCTGTCATATGCACTTAAACAATATATAATGATGCTCTAAAAGGCTCCTGTTTGCTTGGTTGTCTTTAGTGACTCGAACATCTGTGTGCGCAGATGTGGAGATGTGGAGCTTAGCAGAGTTTGACCTGAAAAGAGTCAGTGGGAGGTCGACTGCTCTTCTCACACTTCAGCTGCTAATCCACTTTGCTAGCACCATTAATACACGCACATGTTATTACGTTACATTTTGAATCATATTTTTCTCAAACTATAAGACCCACATTCTCAACACGCCGCCTTCAAGTAAAGTCTGGATAAGAGTGACTGGTTGTTTGTGGGCAGTGATTATGGCTTGGTTTAAACCTGATTTGCACTGGCTGTAGGCTGCTCATCTGGGCTCAGGCTAATCCTTGGATGTGCAGCTCAGAGCGGGTTATAGACACATCCTACCCCCACAACATGAGGCGTGGGGGAAATCCAAGGAAAATCTCTACAGGGCCGCAAAACTGGGACAGTTTTTGTGGAAGCAACAGCCTGTAAATATGGAAATATATTTCATTATGTGATGGCTCAAAAACATAAAATTCAATTAAAGGTGCACTATTTAACTTTTCTCATGGGGGTCCATCACCACCTTGTCTACATGGAGATGCTATTGATTTTTTTATTGCTAAAAATAACTGCATTCTCACTGTGAGCAATGTTGCCTTCCACAGATCTGACCTGTAACTTAGCCTTGTGGTGTCACTTGGTTTAAATTGAAAAATGCAATAACATACAAGAACAATATACAATGTCAGACACAGGAATAACATTTCCATGGAGACCACCAGAAAAGTTGCCTAATGTACCTTTAAATCTTTCTGAAAGAGTACATTTAAAAACTCACAAGTGGAAAGAGAAATTCTCACACACTGCTGAACTGAACTTTTTGTGTCTGATAGTTCAAATATTTAAAAAACACTAGCCGTAATCCAAAGTTTACAATTGTACAAGTGAGTTATGAGCAGATATTTTTTTTATTATAGCCAGTGGTTTTATAGTATTTTGTACTCATTTGACCTCATGTTGCCATACCCACTGCAGTGCCAGTTTCTGTTCCTCCTTTTTCATTACAAACTCCCTCCTACACTGAACAGACTGTGTGAGGCACCAGCTATGTTTCAAAATAAGTGCATTCTGTCTGGAATCTTACAGATCAAATATTTTCTGAAAGTTCAACTATTTTAGTTATAATTAGTAGGCGTTTTTTTATTTAACATAGGCCTATTTAGATTCAGTTTTCCATGTTCTATAGCATCGTAGATACTATAGTGCTTTATTTTCTTCAATGTAAAATGCTACTGTTTACGTCTTGCTGTGGTATTGTCAAGTTTAATGATGCAGAACACTATAATGACCAGGACCAGACTCCCCATAAATTTAATTTAACATCCAAATAACACACAAAATGTACTCTTCCTAAATGTTTAGCATAGACCTATTGTCGTGTGAACCTCCCTCATCCAGATTTCCAAATGTCCAGTAGCTTACCTTTTAC